TTTATGTATATAGAAATAAAATTGATTTTTATATTTTGACTTTGTACCCAGTAACCTTATAAATTGACTTATTAGCTCTACTATCTTTTTTGCATATTCTTGAAAATTTTCTATATATAAGACTATGTTTTCAAAATGTGCTCTTAATATGTAAACAGATGGTTTAAACTCTTCCTACCACTTAGAATGTGTTTTAGTTCTTTAACTTACCTTATTGCACTGGCTATCATGTTGCACAGAAGCAATAAAAGTACTACTTCTCGCTTCTGATCTTAGGTAGAAATTATTCAATGAATGGGTACTGAGTTTTGTGAAATGCTTTTTCTGCATCTATTAAAATGATATCTGTGTCCCTTTATTCTATTACTGTGGTGAATGACACTGACTAGTTTCCAGATGTTAAACCAATCATGTATTCTTGAAGTAAATCCCATTTGATCATGACATATTATTGCACAATGTTGGATTCAGTTTGCTACTGTTTAGAATTTCTGCATGTACACTCATAAGGGACATTGATCTGTAGTTTTCTTTTCTGGTAATATATTCGGTTTTGGGATCAGAGTTATGCTGGCCTCATAAAATGAGTTGGGAAGTATTTCCTCCTCTTATATTTTCTGTAAGAGGTTACGTAAAATTGGTATTATTTCTTTTTTAAATGTTTAGAAGAACACACCAGTGAATAAACTTGGCTTGGAGTATATATTTATAAGAAAATCTTTTAACTGTTAATTCGGTTTCCTTAATGTTATATTTCTTTTTGAGTCATTTTTGGTAATTTGTATCTTTCAAGAAACTTGTTGCTTTTCCCTTGTTCTCAAAATGTGCTCTTAACATTTAGCTTTCAACAGTTTGCGTATTTTTGATCTTCATGTTTACTCTGCTTGGTGTTCTTTGAGCATCTTGAATGTGTAAATTAGTGTGTTTTTATAAATCTGGGAAATTTTTGGCCACTAGTTCTTAACTTTTTTTTTTTTTTTTCTCCCCCTGCTCCATTTTCTCTTAATGAAGCTCCAATTATAAATGTTGTTATCTGCCATCGAGTTGGACTCATAGCTATTGCTCCTTGGGTTTCCAAGGCGATATCGCTACGGAAGTAGATTGCCCAACCTTCCTTCCAAGGAGTGGCTGGTGGATTTGAACCACCAGCCTTCTGGTTGGCAGTCAAGTGCTTTAGGCACTATGCTACCAGAGTTCCTAATTACAAACATTACATCATACGATATTAAGTAACAGTTTCTCAAGGCTCCATTTTTTAAAACCATTTTTCTTTTGTGTGTTATTCACTGGATAATTTCTACTTATCTATTTTCGAATTAACTTACTGTGGTAGTTAAAAGTTGTTAGTCAACTTGGCTGGGCCTTGGTTTTGACTGGCTTGGCAGCTTTGATGTAGTTAATCCGCATAATGAAATTAGATATGGTATAATCATCTGCATGGTGGAATATGCTGTGAGCAGTTAATTAGCCTTTGGGGTGTGGACTGCTTCCAGTCTATATGAAAAGGATCCTGCATTTGGTTCATGATTCATCATTCCCAGTTCCTGCACTTGAATCAGGGGCCTGCTGTGTTGCTTGCAATGCTGGGATTGTTGCCTTTGGAGCCTGTCTGCTAACAATCTGCGGATCTTGGATTCACGAGCCTCAGCAGCCAGCAGCCTGCTGTACTGCCTGCCAATCTTGAGTTCCTCACCCCCTGCAGCTATGTGAGTCAGGAGGAATAGCCTCCAGCTTGCTTCAGTGGGCTTGGAAAGCAGAGCTGAATCCCAAGGTCAAGAGGATTCAACACAGAATCCAGAGAGAGAAAGCCTTCCCTTAGAGCTGGCACACTTGAACCTGGACTTCTAGCCTAGTCTTTCCCTACAACTGAATTCATACTTCTAATCTCCTAAACTATGAAAGAATAAGTTTCTGTTTGTTAAAGCCATCCACTTTTGGTACTTCTTTTATAGCAGCATGAGAGAACTAAGATACTCTTTCCTATTCTGTTGCAAATTTTTAATTTCAAATACTGTATTTTTTAGTTCATGAATTTATATCTGATGTTTCTTAACATTTCCATTTCTCTGCTTCATTATCCAATCATTTCTTTTATTGTAACCATATTTTCTTTTACTTAATGGAGGGTACATATAACAGCCACTTTAAATCCTTGTGTGCTGCTTGCAACACTAGAAATATTGGGGTTGATCCCAATTGATTTTCTTTTCCCTTGAGAATATGTTCCATTTTCTTGGGTCTTTGAAAGTTGGGTAATTTAATGTTAAGTTGTGGTGACTTGGTTGTTGTTTTTCTCCAATAAGGGCTGTTCCTTTTATTTTAGGTTGGACTTAAATTACAAAATTTGATTTTTGGGGAGTGGCAGCTCTGTTCTGGGCATATATTGTTCCAAGGACATACAGAGATAAGGAGATAGAATCTCTGGCTTTTCCCTTCTGAGATTCCTGCTTCTTACCAGTGGCCACCATATCCTCAAATTTAGGCTTCTGGTCCCTAGGCCAGAGAGACTGCAGTGTACCACGCTAAACGCACCTGGTTCCAGGCTAGGAGTCATGAAAATGGGACATACTGTGTGTATAATTTCTCTGAGTGTGGGTTTCTCACCAAAATATGTCTACTTTCATCTGTGCCTTCGGGTAATTGATTTTTGTATTAAGTCCAGATGTACAAAGAGGAGGACTGGCCTACTAGGATATTCTCTCACTGCTGTCGAGTCATATCTGACTCACAGTAACCCTTCCTTGGGTTTCCTAGGCAGTATCACTATGGAAGTAGATTGCTCCATCTTCCTTCTGAAGAGTGGCTAGTGAGTTTGAACCGCCAGCCTTCTGGTTAGCAGTCAAACGCCTTAGAGCTCCCAGTATGACATTACTCAGGCATTATTGTCCATATACATTTTTGACACAGTGAAACTACATATATCTTTTGAATCCTACTTTGTACATGTATCAATGTATCATAAAATCATTTCTATTTTACTCGTAAGTACAATATATTTTAATATAACTAGGTTTTCCCTTATTTTAAAGAGAATATTTATATCTTTTCTTCCTATACATATTAAGTATAGATTTTTAAAAGCATAGCTGCAACTCAATTGCATATACTATTTGTACTCTACTTTTCATCCAACATTATAGTCATAAACCATTTCAATTTTGAGTATGCATTAGAATCACCTGAGGAAACTGTACAAAAAGCACATTCCCAAGCCCAGTAATTTTGATTTAGGAAGTCAGGAGTGGAGTTCAGGATTTCAAAATTTCAACTAATATTCTAAGTGATTCTGAAATTGATGGTTCATGGATACCACTTGAAAAACCTGAGAAGTATTTCCAAATAATAAATTTTTCAACCCATAGAGAAATGATTAAGTTATAATCTTACTTCACTCAATATACACTCAAAAAACCACACATAAATCCCAGACAAATTAGAGAGCAATGGAAATAAAAAGTATGGGAATATGTAAGTGAATTTCTATATAAACTAAAATGAGAAAAGATTTCTAACATGACACCAAAAGCAAAAACCATAAAAGGAAATACTGTTAACTACATCAAAATGTCACGAAAGAGACTACTTTTTTAAAAGACTAGTTTGCACAGATGTATTCAATTTAAATTAATATTTTTGCTGTGTGTGTGCAAATTTACAAAGACAATTTGTTTTACATTCAACGGCTCATACACATTTGATTTCATGGCCCTGATTACCATCCCGAACTGTAAAAAACTCTCCTCCCCTCCTCTCCCTGTGCCCTTAACTATGCATTCCTGTCTGTCCAGCTTTCCCTCTGTGTGAATGCTGCCCCTCCGATGTCTTATGGCTGACTGCTCTAAAGAGTGCATCTACCTACAGTAAGTAGGTGGGTGCATCGCTCTGGAGTAGGTGCTGCACACAGGTCTTTCTACTGTTGGGCTGAGAGCCAATCCTTGGGAGTGAGTCCATTTTCAGGCTTGAAGGGTAACCCAGGGCCATAGTCTCAGGGGTTCCACCAGTCTCTATCCTACCAGTAATTCTGGTTATTTTTGTGTTTTTGAATTTTGTTCATTTTTCCTCCCACTCTGTCCAGGGTCTTCAGTGTTGATCCCTTTCTCAATGGTTGGATTGGTAGCCAGGCATCATCTAGTTCTTCTGGTCTCAGGATCATGAAGGCTGAGGTCCTTGTGGTCCATCTTATCCTTGGACTGTTTCCAGATGCCTCTGATTTTCTTCACTCTTCTTTGATTCCAATGAGAGAAGACCAATAGTTGCATCTTATATGGCTGCTCAAAAGCTTTTAAGACCTCAGTCGCTACCCACCAAAGTAGGTTGTACGATAAGGTTTTTATGTACTATGTTGTGCCAACTGAGCTGGATGTCCCCCAAGACTATGATCCCGAGTTGGCGGGTCCAGTGATTCTCTCTCTTAAGGTGTTTAAATTTAATGTAAATGCAAGAAAATGAACTAATCCAAATAATAATAATAAACTATTGAAACTGTCCTAACAAGAAGTTTCCATATGAGCAAACCAGTAACAAAAGAAGTAATCAAGAAATTGCCTCGGCAAAGGTTAAAATTAGCAAATTCTTTCCAATTATAAAGGAACAGATTGCTCTGATGTACACAAATTGTACCGTAACACAGAAGAAGTAAGGTCAACTGCTCAAGTCATCCCAGAAGGTGACCTGTAGCCAGTACTTAATAAAAATGGCTACAAGGGTAGCACACACATTCATACAGTCTTGGAGGGAATAATCCAACTGGGAAATGTACATAACCTTTAGAAGAAAAAAATCATTCTCCAAAGCAAAAAAACAAACAAACAAAAAAGTGAAAAACAAAAACAAAACAAAACAAATATGAAGAGAATAAAAGACATCTTGAAGAAATGTTCCTGGATCAAAAGCTACGATAGATTTCTCTCTTATAGACTTGTCTATGGTCGCCACCGGCTCCCTCAGGTAATCAGAGCTTGGATTTCCATTTATATATTTTATTTTCCCTTATTTTACAATTGTTCGTTCCCTTCCTCAGGTTTAAAATTCCTTAGCTGAAACACAATTCCTTAATCCTTCTCCATTTAAAAAACTATTAGTTTTTGTGTATTACAGTTTCCTACTGTGACCCTGTTTGTAGTTTTCCCTTCTACATACAGAAGTTTTAATTGTATGCTTTGGTCCAAAGTTAAATGTCATTACTGACTGACCATGGAAGTACTCTAATTGTACTTGGATTCTTTTTCTGTCTGTAGTCAAAGATTAAAATACAAAGATTGAATCCTCAGGCTCAGTGAGACAGAAGGAAAAAACTTGGTAGGTGTAAAGGAAAAAGAAAGACATTATGCACTAAAAGGGCTATAGCAGGTAATCCTTATTCTATCCTTTGACAGGTAAGTTTGTGATGAATTAACACATATGTGATGAAATATGGAACAGTCATATCATTATGAGTGGGCAGAAAATACTTTAAGAGAAAGACCATTATCCAAGTAAATACAGTACTTAAAATGACATATATAAATTCCCCTTTGAAAACAGCTTGAGACACTAAGTAAAAATTCATCAGAAACTATACTTCTCAGAAAAAGGAATGGACTGGAGAGGGGGAAACTCACCATAGAACTTGGACTTCGCCAGGATACTACCACTAAGGCAAAATCCATCCTTTCGGTTACTAACATAAAAGGCAGATATTGGTGGATGATGGGACACCTATGAAACATAGGAAAAAATATAAAATACAATAAGCATATTATTGTACTATTAAACTCTCCACTCTTAAAAGGATACTCTAATAGGGGAGCTCTGGTAGCATAGTGGCTAAGACACTTGCCTGCTAACCAGACGGCTGGCGGTTCAAACCCACCAGCCACTCCTCGGAAGAAGGTTGGGCAATCCTAGTTCTGTAGTGATACTGCCTCGGAAACCCAAGGAGGGGTCGCTATGAGTCGGGGCCGACTCGACGGCACATAACAACAATAACAACAACAATAATGAGTAATAAGTAATGTATGGTAAGTAGTAAAATTAAACATTTGATAGTTGTAGTAACCAGCCTCCAAGGTACCTCCCAAGGAAACCCACTGCTGTGTACCATTGTATCAAGGTTGGTTTGTGTTGTGCAGAAATGATGGTACATCACATCTAATATTAGGTTATAAAAGATCCTGCGGCTTCCATCTCTAGTGTCTGTGTCTCTCAAGTCATTAGCTCTGGGAAACCAGCTTCCATACTGGCAACAGCCCTATGAAGAGTCCCATGTGGTGAGGAAATAAGATCTCCTGTCAACAGCCACATGAGCGAGCACAGAAGTCAATCTTCTGGCCCAGTCAAGCCTTTAGGTGACTGCAAAGCTGGCTGACATCTTAACATAAACCTCTGAGAGACACTAAGCCAAAACCCCAGATTTCTTGTATGAGATAATGAATATTTATTTATGTTTTAAGCTAGTATGTTTTCGCAGTAATTTGTTACTCAGCAATGGATAACAAATACAATGGATATTCTTAATATGGATTATTGAAGAGGCTTTAGGAAACTAGTAAAAGCATTGGAAAGCATGTTATTTTAATGTTATCTTGATATATTTACACCTTGTGTTTTTGAAATGGAGACAGAACAAAAATCAAACTCTTCTCAAGCTTTTCAATTTTGTAAAGAATTATTATCAATTAAAATGTAAGGTGGTAGAATCATTAATTTTTAAAACATTAATACATGTTAGTAGTTTCAACCTGAGGGTGTATCAAAATCTCTAGAGGAAGGCAAAGATTTTTCAAATGACACATGGTGTCCTCATCCTCCTTATACTCAAAGAAATGATTATTATAATAAGGAACCATCATTACTAAGAAATGTCACATTCTCAGGTTTCTGTGGATGAGAGAAAGACTGAGAATCGTAACTATAGATGTACGTTAAGTTCAAGCCACAAAAATATTTTTTAACCAGAAAATATTTTCTGACTGCCTATTATGTGTACAATAAAAAGAGAGGAATTACTGGGGATACAGTGTGTCTTCAAAGAGCTAACAATTCAGTTTGGGAAATAAATACATTATAGAAAGTTAAACATTACAAGTGTTAAAATAAGAGCTTAATGGATAATCACATAAAATACTGCAGAAGTTTGAGGTAAGACATATCTTTGGTAGCTGCAGTTATTTGGATCTTGAAGAATGAGCAACTCAGGGTTTATTTAGATGAAGATCAGCTGAAAAGAAATACTGGGGTGGGAAATTAAATTTAAAAATAATGAGTCAAGAAAGTGCCAGACCAGATTACCAGACTGTTGATATACAGGTTTGAGTAGTGTGGAGGGCCCAGAAAGGAATATAATTTGAGACAAACTTAGATGGAGGACCCTAACTGCCAGAAAAACAGGTCCAATTTTCATTTTAGGAACAGGCACTGAAGAATTTTGAACATGATCAAAAAGATGTTTTAGAAATATGAGTTTGGGTAAATCAGAAAAAAAGGCAGGAAAAATATAGCTTTATTTTTTGTGAAAAGATTCTATCACTGCAACAGTAATACTTTTGAGTACAACATTTAGTAGTGGCTCAATATTAAAAGGTTTAAATGCTTAGTGTTAAGTATTAGTGAATATTCACTAATAAATAAGATTAATCAAGAGTGAGTTTACTGAGTTATTGTTAACTATAAAGATTTCCAAATCAGTTTTGCTACTGTGACATGCATTTCTTTTATTTATTTTTTTTTCCACGACAAAGCAGGATTTATTCCAGGAACGCAGGGATGGTTCAAGATTAGAAAATCAGTGTAATACACCATATAAACAGAACAAAGGAAAAGAACCTCCTGATCATCTCTATGAATGCAGAAAAAGCATTTGATAAAACCCAATTCCCCTTTTTTTTTTAATTAACTTTATAGTTAAATTTAGGTGCAAATTTATAGAGCAGAGTTTGTTTCACATTCAACATTTCATGTACATTGGGTTTCACTCCCCAATTACCATCCCCAACCCTAACCCACTCTCCTTCCCTCCCTTTCCATAACACCCTCCCCGTACTCCTCACAGTTATGCACTCCTGTGTGTGACATGCATTTCTAATACCTGTTCGGCAATATAAAAAGTTTTGCTGTTTGTTCTGGGATGAATCCATAAACAACGAAAAGTCTCACCAAGTATAGGATTATATGGTTTCTTCAGTCCCTAGTAGAAAACATAAAAGTTTCAAAATACAAATACGGAAGACTTAAAATAATTTAAACCAGCCAAAATGGATTTAAATGTGTCATGTGGGAAGCATCCTTTACAAAAACTTCACAATAGCGATATGAAATGGAATTAAATTATTTCAACCATAAAATAGATCTAAAACAATCAACTGGTTTCAATTTTGCTAACTCAAAGAGGTCCATTAATGCAATTATTAATAAATATCTAAAGATAACATTGGCTGCTAACCAGAAGGCTGGCGGTTCAAACCCACCAGCCACTCCTTGGAAGGAAGACAGGGCAATCTACTTCCGTAGCGAACTGCCTCGGAAACCCAAGGAGGGGTCGTTATGAGTGGAGTTTGACTCGACGGCACATAACACCACCACCATTAAAAATAAGGAACTTATATAAGACTAAAGAAAGCAAAATAAGAACATTACCTTTGGCTTTTTATAAAATCCTGACAAATACCATTTCACTACTTTCTTCAAACGGAAATAAGGATTTTCTTCAAGAGCAGCTCTAAAAAACAAAATGGCAGAGACAATATATTGTAAAATGTATCATAAATTCTCCTTTATATTTTCCAAACAACCAGTATGAGATATTTTTGGAAAGCATAATTCATATTTAAAAGAGATAGCAAAAACAACCATGTATATCAATTTCCAAGAATCTTTTTTCATAATCTATTTTTTTCTCTCCCAATTTTCCACATTCTTTGATACACCACCCAAGTCTTTGCTAAAGTAGTTTTTCGAAACTTTGCAAACCAAAGTTTCTCAACAGGGGTCCTGCAGAACCCTAATATTGCTAGGTGTTCCATGAGAAAAATGTGATTGTGATTGGGCTACAACCAACCCACAAAGACTTTAAAATTTATGTACTGTGTGATGTCTAGCACTTGTAATGATAGACAGTAACCAAGCGTTTCCATCTACAATTCTGTTAGAAGTCTTTAGCTTTATATGTTGGTGAAAAACCATGTTTACTTGGTTAAGTCTATTCTCAGTTGCTGACACTGTTAGAGCCTGATGATAACTGGTAAGTGTGCTGTAATACATGGGGAGGGGGGAGACAGTAAGCTGAGGTCAGCCTGTTTGTTGCAAATTACCTCCCTCATCAAGCTTATGATTATACAGTTTCTCAGGCCCTAGTTTTTTAAAAAAAAACAACAACATAGAAGTCTTAAATTACAAATATGGAAGATTTAAAATCAATCAATCAAAACTTCAACCTCCCACACATGCTGCCAACTGATTTTCCAGAATAAACAACTCTACCAGTGTTAACAGATAATTAGAGTGTAATTTTCATATTACAAGAGAAATTTTTAGGCATCATGACTTAGTTGCCCCTTCTGCCATTTTGCTGTTGTAAATTCTGTAAAATAGTGTGCATGTTTTGTGAAGTTCTCATTTCTCTTTTTTGTAATTTAGTTATGCTCTTATTTATAAAGACACCTGTATCTCCTAAGCAAATCTCATGGTGCAATGTGGTAATTTTTGAGGAAGAGATATGAGATGGAAGAGGCTAGGCATAAGGCTACTGACAAATGTGACAACGTGAGGGATGTTGACTTTCCCAAATTGAAAGGCTTTGCTTTTCTGGAGTAACAACCTTCTGCTTGCTGTATTACTGTCTTAGTTTAAATTCTCTTCCTAAGAAATTTTATTTTAAATGTTACATATACATAGTTCAAAACTCAAAATAACACAAAAAGGTATACATGTCTTGGTATCATACCATCTCTTCACACTGTACCTACAGTTAGCATTTTTGTTTTGGCTTCTCACTGTTTTTAAAACAGTTTTCTTTAAACATAAACAAGCAAATATATAGTGTTACATACAATACAGACTATTACACGTGTAAATTGGAGGACCTTCCATTTCAGTGTATAGAGTTGTTCCTCATATGTGGATGGATGTCCCATACTCTATTAACTAGTACACTATAGCCAGACATTTGAGTTATGTCCAATTCTTTAATACAAAGAACGATGCTGCACCAATTTTACATATACATATCACTTTGTATATGGATATCTGTATATCCATATCTGTAAGAGTGATTTCCAGAAGTAAGATTACTGGATCAAAGAATGAATGCATTTATGATTTTTGTAAATACTGCCAAACTGTCTTCAAAGAAAGGCACTGTTCTATTTTGTATCTCCCAACAGCAGTGTAGGAGAGTGCCTCTTGCCCCGCACAGCCTTTGCAGCAGTGTGTGCTGCTAGAAAAGTACAACTTTCAATTTAGGACAAATTTCTGAAGGTCTCACTGTGATTCAGAGGAATCTATTTCACAATCTGAGAGACAATTTTCCAGACAGATGAGAGAAAGAAGAGTTGTAAAAAGAAATAAGGTGTGCTCGCTTCGGCGGCACATACACTAAAATTGGAACGCTACAGAGAAGGTTAGCATGGCCCCTGCGCAAGGATGACACGCAAATTCGTGAAGCGTTCCACATTTAAAAAAAAAAAAAAAAAGAAAGAAGGTGGCTGAGCTGGAATATAAAAGCTTTAGGACTACTTGTCAACACAATGAACAAATTTATCCTACCATACCTTGAATCTACACTTTTCTTATTTTGAGTGCAATTTACAACTTTAAAAGTTGTTTCTATTTCTTCATTTCTGAACTGCCTGGTCATTTCCTTCCCTTTTTTCCCTATTAGGTTGAGTGATCTTTTTCATCTCAATATCTAGGAGCTATTTTTATTTCTAAGAGATTAATACTGGCTTTATTTAAAAAAAAATCCCCACTTTATCAACTATCTTTTGACTCAGTTTATGCCTTTTTTAAATGTTCATTAATGCAACCAATAGACAGAAGCTAAATATAAAAACTGATGCAGATTTTAAAAAACCTGGCCATGGTACCATGGATTAATATCTTAGAAAATATGGTGCCTTGAAATACCACTGCAACTGGAATGGAGCAGCAGGTAAAAACTGAAAAACTGCTATCTGTCACTGTTTCTCCAAGAAAGTCCTGGGACAGACGTGGAGAGCTCTTTCCCCACTCTTATATGCCTGCATCTGTTAGAATTACTTCTGGGATGAGCTAGAAGAAAAATGAAGATGAGAGAGGAAAAAGCAGCATTATGTCAAGAGTGAGGAAATGGAACATTCTGACTGTGGTAAGCTGCACATACTCCAAGGATGCAGAGGTGTTAAGTCTAAACTAAAGCACAAGCCCCAGGACGAACTGGAATGAGGGCTTGGGCAGAGAATAACAACGCCAAATACCTCTCCCAGTGGTAGGTCAGTGAACAGGTTAGGGGAGCCTGTGAAAGCAGTGTTGTTCAGTGAGGTGTAGAGTTCTGTCTTCCTCACACTTGTGATTACTCAAGCCAATTTCATAGATGGAAACATTACAGCAAAGTATAAAGTTTGCTTCTTATTAATTTCAATTAAAGAAGTGGTAGAGAAGAGGAGCATGCATCATTGACGCCTAACTTTGGTAAGGTGTAATCACGGAAAATGGAATTGCAGAGAATCTCTGAATCCAAAAAGTATCTTCTGTTTGAGAAATAAGAATGTACTTACTCAGAGAGAAAATCTGCATGATAGTAGTAATCTGAAAGTTTATCCAGGAAAGAACGAGGCTCCAAAATAAATGTTGGCAGAACCACCCTCGACAGATCCATGCCAGGGCGGACTTGTTTCAACAAAGTCCAGATAAGACTTTTGTTTTCTTCAGACACGGTTTCTGTTTGAGAAGCCTCACCTGCCTTTAGCAATTAACAAAAAATAATGAAATATTTATTCCAGACACAAAAATATGCAGACAACTAATGCTTAAAATAAGTATTCTCCACAGGACTACTCCAAGCATTCTTAAAGCGCAGCAATAACTCGTTAATTAATGAGGCCTACGACTACAGAATTAAAGTGGAAAATGACAGTGCAAGAGACAAAGTGAACAGTATCTATAAAAGACCTACTAGAGAAAAAATACTCTACTATTTCACACTACACTTACTTCTTTTTTTTTTTTTTTAAACCCTACTGCCACTGAGTCAATACCAACTCATAGCAACCCTTTAGGACAGAGTACCAGTCCCCCAGAGGTACCACCAGAGGGTATCCAAGGCTGTAAATCTTTATAGACTTCTATGGAATAAAAAAGTTGAAAACTCATGTTTGCTTGCAATTTACTTTGTACCTGGTTATGATATGAAGAAGTATCCTGCTGAAGAAAATGTAAATAAACTTTAATAGAATATACTGGCATGTGTTCAACTATATATGTTTAGCTGTTTATGAATTCTAATGTATTTAAATGTATACAAAATTTAAAGTAAAATATATACAACTTTTAAAATAAAATATAAAAAGAAATCAAATCAAATAAATCCTGTCTTTCAGGGAAGTAAGTAATTTCATCTGAAAAATCTCCAAAGTGAGAAAATCAAAATCTCTGAAAGGACAGATTTTTACCTCTCCCAGTTCTTCATGGCTCTGTTCGGAGTACGTAGTCTCTTTTAAAGGCTCAACAGGCTCAGGTTCAATATAGGAGTCGTCCTGCCTTTCTGATGTATCTGTGTCACTTTCTTCACTTTTTCCCATCACCTCATTGTCAGACTCATCATGCTCCTGATCATTTTCTTTATCAGATTTATCAGAATACATATCTTGGTCCTTAAAATGCTGTCGTTCAATTTCACTATCATTTAATCTTAAGGGAAAGAAATCAGTAGATACAGGAGGTTAAGAGTATTTATTCATAAATAAGAATAATAGGTAATTTTTTGGAGAATTTACTATGTGTTTGGTATTATATATATATATTTATATTATATTATATTTACTGAGTGTTTTATATAGTTTAACTCATTTAATGTTCAAAATAACCCTATAACATATTATTATTATAATTACTTTACAGATTAGTTAATGGAGGCAAAGAGAAGTTAAACAAAAACCTGGGAAATGTTGAAAGATGAACTCTGAGCTCTTTGCTGCTCTACTACCTGGAGCTAAGATTTTCCAAAAGCAATATTCTAGACTATCTCTCACTAGATTTTTCTTTTAATTAGTTGTACAAACATCATTCCTTGAAAACAGTGTCACTGTCACTTTTGGTCTGAAGAAAAAAACTCAAGCCAAGATCACCAGATGCTCAAGTGAATTCAAATGAATTATGACATTCCACCTGTAAGAGTCTCCAAAGTCACCCAAAATAAGCTCAAGGAAAATGTAAAAGGCAAAGAATTTTAGCACAGACCTGAAGTCAATTCTATTTAATACCTGACTGATAGGGTTAATCTTGGGGCAAAACCAGGGAGAATTAAAACTGGAAATTTCAACTTAAAAAATAAAAACAAAACCCACTTCTAGAATCAAATGTCTTTTTAGCAATTTCTTTTTTCTAAAAAGTAGCTATGTGTTTTATTTAGCATAAGAATCTTATAGGGATGAACATTAAAATACTTTACAAATAAATAAAGGCTGCTATAGTGTAACTGACATTTTAAGAATGCAAAGATAGGTAATAGAGTGGAGATGTCCTATTTGGTTCCTATTTTAGTTTCTACTTTCCAAAATGTTCATCTGTTTTAGTTTTAGCCAGAAATTTTAACAGAAATTCATTTTTTGTAATACTTAATGTTTTCTTTCTTTCCATTTACAATAATATACACCAGAAAAATAGTCTAAACTTGCTGCTCTGATTCCTTCCCACCTGTGGCTGTGAGCTGCTGTCGAGCATGCTGACCGCAAGCCCAGCAGTAGAGACATCGCCTGGTCCTGTGCCATTGCCATGACTGAGTTTTCATTGGCTAATTTTGGGAAGTAGATTGCTAGGCCTTTCTTCCTCGTCCAGCTTAGTCTGTACTCTCCACTGAAACCTGCTGAGCATCGTAACAACACAGAAGCCTCCGCTGACAGATGAGTAGTTGCTGCACATGAGGTATACAGGCTGGGAGTCAAACCCAGGCTTCCCACATGCCAGGTGAGAATCCTATCACTGAGCCAACAATGCCTCCTTGATATCTCGTATTCTCCTCAAGCTCCCACTGTCTGATTTTCACACTCTGGCCCACTGAACCTGCACACTTTAAAGATCAATAATGATGGCTTAGTTGCCAAATTCAATGGCCTGTCTAAGCTTTAACCCCATGTGACTTCTCTGCATCAGTGGACTTTGATAATTATTTTCCTTGAAATTATCTCTGTGCTTGGATTCCAAGTTGCTATGGCTCTATTTTTTGAGCTCTCTGATCACTCATACTTCTTCCCATCCTTTAAGAGAACTTCATCTTCCCTGACCCTTTTTCCCTCTGTTTTCTCTCTCCCTTGGCAAATTATCTAATTTCAAAGTTTAACCATCATTTCTATGTGATATTTATAAATCCATGTGTTCAGCACTAAGCTTCAATTTCATGTTTTTAAATGCTTGGTTGATATCAACTATATGTATTGGGACCACCTTATTTTGAACATATACACTCTTTAACCAATTACTATATAACCTCCCAAACATATCCTTTGGTAAAATACATCATCTTCCCCGTTACTCAGGCTTATGATGTGAGAATCATCCTTAACTTCATCTACACCCTGTTCCTTACACTCACTTCCATTGTAAGTCTCTAGAGGGCAGCGTCTCTCTTGCTCTCATCTCTGTATCATCAGCTCCCAGCTCATTTTCTGTCACATAACTGAATGAACATCTTGATTCCACTTGTATAAAACCTCCTATTATATCAATACTATCCTCTCATGTCTTACAGTCACCCCATCACTTTACATCCTCATTACCAGTCACCTGAGACTATGAAATAGTATTCCTTTTAGTCTCAGTACTCTTCAAACAATGTTAACAATTTTATAGATTAATCTTCCTCATTATAACACTCACTGTCCACTAACCATAGAGAATAAAATACAAACTCCTTAGCATGGCATTAAGGAGTTCAACCTCACCTTTCCATCATTATTTTCAACAAGTGTCCTTGTTTTCTTCTAACTGGCTCTTAAGTCAAATTGAACTATTCTTTATTGTGCTCCCAGGTTTTCTCTAATGTTTATGGTATACTGTTTCTTTTTTTGTTATACCTTGTCCTCGTCAAATATCCCAAACTAAAACCAACAAATAAAAAATAAACCGCCCTGCAAGGGTCATGTTAAAGGCCAGCCTTCACTAAGCTTTCCCTGATTCTGTAGTCAGTTTTCCCTCTCTAAATTCTCCTGGTTTTATAGTTTCTTGTTGGTGTCAGCTCCACTATAACAGGATGAAAGGCTGCCTGGTCCTATGCCATGTTCACAATTGTGCCTATGCTTGAACCCACTGTTGCAGCCACTGTGTCAATCCATCTCACTGAGAGCTTCCCTCTTTTCTGGCTAACCCTCAACTTTTACCATTCCATACTTACACTAACACATTTCTCTTTTGGTTATTTTTATTGTTCTTATCTTCCCACTATTTATATTTGTCTGTCACTTTATAGGTTTCAAACAAAATAAAAACACCTCCAGGATCACACAGCTAATAACTCACTGCTATCGAGTCAAGTCTGACTCATAGCAACCCCAATTGGTTTCTGAAGCTGTAAATCTTTACAGAAGTAGATCGCCCATCTTCCTCCTGCAGACCAGCTGGTGGCTTTGAACCACTGACCTTCTGGTTAGCAGCCAGATGCCTTAACCACTATGCCACTAGAGCTCCTTAAAAGTGGTAGTGCCAGACTCAAATTTAAGATCATAACTGATTTATTCCCTTATTTGCAAAGCACCTGATATAGTGTCTTATACAGAAGAGTCTCAAAAAAATTTAATGAATATACAAAGTAGATGAATTTTTTGAAAATCCCAAGATATGAATGAAGCTTTTCAAAATTAACTGGTATTCAAAAAAACAATAAACTTTTTACAGCTGAAAGGCTTCAATTTCTAATTCAAGGAAAAAAATCTGGGTAAGGGCTTCAACAAGTATCAATTCCTATATTAGTTGTCTGCCTCACCCCCCCCCCACCCTAGTTCCACCCCATTCAGGCTCTAGGTACTTGAGACTAAGATCAATCTCCACATGAGTCTAAAGAAAGGATGTAAAAGATCAGGAAACTGAAATTTTTAAAAAGAGAGTAAAATAATAACAGTCAAGAAAAGAAAGGAGAAAAAGGTTGAGCTCAGGTTACATGGAGGACAGTGGTGATGTAGCTTGGAGAAGAGTAACTTCAAAGCTGATGGGAGTCAGTGGCTGCATAATGGCAGCTGCAGGCTGGGCGCGGGGAGGAAAAGAAGTCTAATGCTTTTCTTACAAAGGAGCAGGAGAGATCTGAACAACAGAGCATTTGTATTGCTGCCCAGTTTTCCTGTAGAAATCTTTTTCTAGTATTAACAACAATGAATGCTTTAGGTGATAAAATCACAAATTGGATATAGCCCCAACAACTCTAAATATTTAAAATATAATTGGAGAATTCCACAAATACTAGTGCTATTTAAAAAAAGTGCTACAAAATAGCAGAAGGATTGATTACATTTCATTACTATGAGGCAGAAAAAACTTCCTATGTGATGTAATATTTGAGATCAATCTTAAAGAATACCTAGGATTACCACAGGAGAAAAGAACAAGGAGGAGCAGAAACTATTTTAAATGTCGGGAACACCATGCACAAAGGCATAGTGGATAATGGGTGTAGTATTTGGGAAAGAGCAAGTAATTAATATTGGCTGGAATCAAGTAAATAAATTCTACATCTATGATAGCAACCAAATAAATTGTAAACCAGGCCTTATGCCATATCATGGGAAGGAGAGAGATACCTACTAAAATCAAAGCCTGTCAACTATTCTAATAAATGACATGGTCTCTAAAATAATTACTAAATTAGGACCAGTATCTACTTACTGGAAGTTGTCACCACTGTGGAGATTGTTAGCACGTAATAAGCCATACAAAGTCACATGGGTGCTCTCTGATGAAATGCTCAGGTCATGTTCTTTTCCTTCTCTGATCATTGTACGCTTAAGAAGACTAGAACATTTCAAAGCCAACTCCAAAGCATCCATCCAGCACCTGCCTAGAAGAACACAGATTCGTAAGAAGCCTAATTCAAGAACTACAAAAACCAGTATTTGTCTTAATTTAGAACTTAAACACGTAACTCACTTCTTCGACAAACATGAATTGGAAAAGTTAATTTGATCATTAAAAATCTTTTAAAAATGCCTTCAACATAGGTGTTTATTTTATATCTCACACAGAAATACAGTTAAAGCACTTAGGAAAAATTCTCTTTCTTAGAATGATTAACAGGTGTAAGAAGGAGCCAAAGAGATCATCTTCTCCAAAAGTATAACAGATTTAAGGTGAACTTGCTAGAATTTCTTAATGCAACTTTTCAGTTTTAAAAATGCTTATTAGGTATTATTAAGATATTGTTGTTGTTGTTGTTATGTGCCATCGAGTCGGACCCGACTCATAGCAACCCCTCCTTGGGTTTCCGAGGCAGTATCACTATGGAATTAGACTGCCCCATCTTCCTTCCGAGGAGTGGCTATTAGAGAATAATAAATGAAATAGTATATAGCATGAACTAGAAAGCACAACCTAACCTAAAATAAACATACTTTCAAAAGTTAGACTATTAATATGTAACATAATTTGAAGGTAGAAAAAAGTACATAAAACATACTAAAAGGAGTATATTTCTACTGTGAACAAACTATCTGGAATAATATTTCATTGTTTATTGGAGATCTTCTCTGAGTTTAACATCCACCGTATTTATATGTATAAAAATTTTTAATGTCGGGAAAATCCCTGTACAATACTGTCATTAACTTCCATATTAGTTAATAGAAACATTAATACTTTTTTTTTGAATTAAGTGTTAGAACTGTATTAGCAGGAAAAATGTTAGTTGCTTTTAAAAGTCATGTATATTTGTTTCTAGATATGCTGGAAATATCAGCCAAGTAAAACATTTTTATACCAAATGCTAATATTTATGATATTTTAATGTTGAAAAGAATCATCTGGTAAAAACATACTTTTGAAGATTACAACATTCTCTAGACTGAGCCTAAGCTAAGAAACATAAAAGTGAAGAAGAAATCCATTATTTATTAAGGTTTTGAGGTTACCTTGCTTTTTAGATAGAAGTTTTCTGCTCCCACAGTTGCCTCATGATTCAGTATTAAGTTATTAGGTATGGAATAAGAGAGTTTGCACTTTAATGTCTTCTTATGTGAAAAAACAAAAACAACTAAAAACAGTATTTACATGCCTCATAAGAGATAATATTTAATAATCAAATATAAGTAGTATTAAATGTATCTCTAAAATGATAAAACTTAAATGAGTTACCATAAAGGGAATTAATCAAGTCAAAAAGTTCTTAATATGCCAATAGAGTATAGAAATGAAAACTCTAAGCTGCTATCTCCCAGCATTCAATTACACGTGTGGTTTTCTAAGCAATTTATAATTAGAATACTTCTGTTACAAATGCCACACTATAAATAAATTTTCCAAAGGATAATGTAAAGTGGTATATTAAAAAAAAAAAAAAAAACCTTAAAAAGAGGAACAAAATTCAATCCATTAAAAATGATATTTACCATCTGACTCTGAAGTAGCTCGGATGATCAAGTAACTGCTTGGTAAGGGCTGAGTTATGGATCCAACTGCTTCACCTTTTGGACCCTTAAGAATAAAATAAGCAAAACAAATGATGTACAGTATTATGAGATCCAACTTTATATTATTCATTATTTCTTACAATATCTATAATTAGGCATGGATTTTAATTTAGAAACAAGCTAATAAAGATGTTAGAGGGTTTCAGTGATTTCATCCTTATTGAGAAAACAAATGTTAAGCACTAAAGAGTTTTCCTCTCCTAACAAATATACCTCCCTAACAGAAAACTGAACAAGGAATAATCATCAGTTAAATATTATCTCCATCTATTGCTCATATATTAATAAGAGCCAAAAATTTATCATACTAGAACAAATTTTAATTTAGCAGAGAATTCCTGTCTCATAGATACTGAAAATAAATATTACATTTCTAGAAGCATAAAGAAAATACAAAAATTTGCAAGCAGCCATCTAGATACAACGATAGGTCTCTCCTTGTCCAGAGCAAAGAAGAATGAAGAAAACCAAAGATTCATGAGAATAATTAGTCCTAGTGACTGGTACATCATGCAATCCCCAGCCTATACAACTATGAGACAAGAAGAACTAGATGGTGCCTGGCTACCACTGTCAACCACTCAGAGGGGGATGTATATAGGAGATCCTGGATAGAGAGGGAGAAAATGTGGAA